GGGGGTTGGGTGGTGTGCTACAGGGGGTGGGTCATATTATGTGGACTAGATAGATGACACCACCCATGTTCCACCGAACACACGCATAGTCGAGTTCTCGAAAAATTCAAATGATCCAAAAAAAATGAATTGAACGCATATGCATTGTATTCGAAAATCAGGGCTATTGTATTCAAATAGAAAGCACCCTATGCCTTGTATTTGTTTACAAGCCATATGCGTTATGTTCAGGTGAAGACGGTAGGGTTGCCCGTCACTGCGGTGTGCAGTAACGGGGCGATGCCATGTGGACTGGTTGGCACAGAAAAGTTGAAAAACAAAAAACAAAAACCATTATGACAAAAAAAGAAAAATGAAAACATGTGGCTGATTGGTACTGCTATCATCTATTGCTATGCAGACCTCAGGTAGGCCAACCTCAGGCACAACTCGGCCCGTGACGCAGTTAGGTGGTACAGTATTATACTATTATGTGGCCTGGGTGATACCATGTGGGTTTTTGGGCAGTGCTACATGGGGTGGGTCAAAAATTCAAAATACATGGACTGTGTAGTACTGTGTGGACTGGGTGGTATTACGTGGCGTGGGGGATGCTGTGTGGGTTGGGTGGCAGGGTGTGGTGGGTCGTATTTTGTGGAAGGGGGGGGGGGGGGGGGAAGAGGGGGGCGTTATTATGCAGCCTGGGCAATACCATGTGTGCTGGGCGGTAGTATGTGGGCTGGGTCATACTATGTGGACACCATATGGTACTATGTGGGCTGGGTGATGTTATGTGGCCTGGGTGATGCTATATGGGGGTTGGGTGGTGTGCTACGTGGGGTGGGTCATATTATGTGGACTGGATGGTGCTATGTGGGCTGGGTGGGACAGTGTAGGTTAGGTGGTGATGGTACATGGGGGGCTAGGTGGGACCCAAAAAAAAAAAAAAAAAAAACGCCTGGGCGTTATATTCAACTTGCAGTCTTGCCCTGAAAATATCAGATTCTTGCTTTTACGTTCAAACTTCAAATACAACACCCCTTCGAATGTAACGCTTGGGTGTTATATTCAAATAGAACACCCGGGTGTTATGTTCAAAATTCAAATAGAAAGCCCGGGTGTTATGTTCAAAAAATTCAAATAGAACGCCCGGGTGTTATGTTCGAAAATCAAATAGAACGCCCGGGCATTATTGAAACGGTATTCACCAGTTAGCAGTAGCTGCTGCAGATCCTAGGGATCAAACCCTGGGATCTGCAGCAGCTACTGTATTCACCAGTTAGCAGTAGCTGCTGCTAACTGGTGAATACTGTTTCATTATAATTGAATAGAACGCCCGGGCGTTATATTTGGATGTGCTAACGCCCGGGCGTTATATTTGGATCTGCCATGGGCAGAGTGCATTGTAGGGGGAGTATACATGGGTTTTACTGAAGTGGTTACAAAATAGTACAAATTTACTGAATAACGCCTGCCCGCCGGGCACTATATTCAT